CAGTACATTCTGAGGTTGATTAGATTCTCTTTGAGTTGTTTGGTGGCCTTTATCCTGAAATTAAATTTAAGAAAACCTTTAGATCCTGTATTTTTATCTCCATTAGTTTTGGCAGAGGCATAAGTGGTATAATTAAAATATCTCAGCTGCTTATTTTTTCACATCAGACATACCAGTCATGTTAACCAATATATAGGATGTTCATGAGTAACAAAGAGGAACCAAGGTATACATGGTACAGATGATGGTGTACTCCTGAGTTTAGAAAAAGTGTTTTGCAAATCTGAGGATACACTAAAATCTGTGCTTTACATTCAGATGACTCCCAAATCTTGAAATGAATCCAGATATCCTCCAAAGTATATCAAACATTAACACTTTTGGAGAGAAATTAGAAATTAGAATTCAGAAGAATGAAGGCACATGCAATAAAATTATCCAAGCATTACAGACAGCCAATGTGGTGTAGCACTGTTGTTTTTTTCTCCATCCCTGTTTCTGGTGATAATTGTACAGTCTGATGCCTCTGACTCTGCCTTGGCATTGGGCAACAAATGTGACCATATACTGAGTAGCAGATGACATAGTTTCAGCTACTCATGGTTATTTTTGGCCACAGGTTTTATTAGTCCCATCTGAAGTCTAGGCCATGCAGGTAGGGCAGCAAGGCAAGAGGAAAATGTGCAAAGAAAGCCACCTTTGTGTCCTTGCTGGTGGATGTTCTCAATGTTGAGTGCACTATCTTGTAAAGTGGAGTGAAACTGGAGCAGGTGTCATAAGGCAAATCATACAGGGACTAAAACAATATTAGCAGAAAGACACACACACCCAACTCATCGGGAGGGGCTTCTTGTTGCACCAGCCATTGTTAGGACAATAGACGCCTGGTTGGCTAAGTGCGCAGGAATTCCCACATTAATTCCTGCACACTTGACCAATCAGATGTCGTAAAAGTTGTATCAAGGCACGCTGGGAAATCTTGGAGTGCATATGCCATTGCGAGATTTCCTGTGGGATTTAGGGCTATATAGCCCTGAGCTGCCACATGGTGGCAGCCATTTTAGAGCTGCAGCTGAGCGAGTCACTTTGCTTGGCTGCGTTCTCTTGGTTACTTGCGCAGCTCTTGGCCTAGCAAATTCTTGGCATTTGCCTTATTGCTTAATTGAACTTATTCTTTGGAGCAGTGAGGAGTGATTGATCCTTTTTTCCACAGGTGACGCCTTTGGGCTGATCGCCTCGGGCCTGGAGGGTGGCCTGCAGCATCTCCAACACCTGGCCAGTTTAAACATAAGGCCGAGGCGGGTGCTGCAACAGGCAGTTCTCTGCCGGGTGCACGGACCTCTGAGGTCGAATCCAGGCCCAGTGGCGCCCCCGGTGATGCCAGATTGGTAAAGTCTGGATACCATTGTTCGGTGTGTGTGGGGGGGGGGGGGGTTGGACAAGTGCAGCCTTCACGGGCTTGATGTTTTCTCCCCTCCAGTGGGAGGTTTTAAGGAGGCAACTTCATTGTTTCCCGGTGGGGTGCCTAATTAGGACACTGTGGACACCTTTCCGGTAGTGGTTGCTTGTGAGGATTCCTGGCTTTTGGCATCTCTCTGGGAGACTTGGGAAGGGTGGCCTCAGGCCTGGTGGTGGTCATCTGAAGC